TATTCCGAAAATTACGAGAAGCTAATCTGAAGATACAAGCGGACAAGTGCGAATTTTTACGACTTGGACATGTAGTTACCCCAAATGGTATAAAACCAAATCAAAAGAAGATTGAAGCGATAAAAAACATCCTTTGCCGAAAACCCAACGAGATATTAAATGTTCTTAGGCTTAGTCGGGTATTATCGCAAATTCATAAAAAATTGCGCGAAAATAACTAAACCATTGACACAATGTTTGAAAAAGGAAAGCAAAGTCGAACACACAAAAGAATTCATTCATTCTTTTAATACATTTAAAAATGTGCTAACTTCAGGGCCAGTATTATCTTATCCGGACTTTACAAAGAGGTTTGAATTAACAACCAACGCATCGAAATATGCCATCTCAGGAATTTTATCACAAGAGGGACACCCAATATGCTACGCATCAAGAACGCTGAACCCATTAGAGATAATCTACTCAACAATTGAAAAGGAACTCTTAGCAATTGTTTGGAGCTGTAAATATTATAGACTTTATTTATTCGGACAAAAATTCATTATTTATACGGATCATAAACCCCTACAGTGGCTGATGTCATTAAAAGAGCCAAATTCGCGACTCGTTAGATGGAGACTTAAACTTGAGGAGTATGAATATGAAATTAAATATAAAAAAGGTAAAAACAACCAAGCAGCGGACGCTTTATCACGATATCCAATGGATACGAACGCTCTTGAAACTGACTCGATATTTAACAACTTAGGAGACGCAGATGAAATGATAAGCGACTTTTTATTACACGATACCAATGAATTGCCAAATCTAGACGACTTAACGTTAGATGAAATTTTGTTTAAACCGGAAGAACAAAAAATTAAAATTTTATCGGACATTCAAATTAAACCCCCATTTAACCAACGGGAAAACCTAAAAGATTTAAAAGAAAATGAGACAGTACATTCTTCAGAGGAAAACCCGATTTTCGAAGTTCCAATTTCGGAAAAACCATTAAACCATTTTAAAAATCAAATAATATTAACAACAGGAGATGTAGGAAAATTCTTAATAAAGAAAGAAAACGTATTTAATAATAATCGATTTATATATCACAATCCCGAAAAATGACCCCATGCCAACTATTATACAAATCATGAGGGAATACTTTAAACCGAAACTTACTTATGCAATTTACTTTCAAGCAGAAAATTTAATTAGAATTTTCACTGTAACGTTGCAAAACACTTTCAAAAATTCAGCATTTAAAATAATTCATTGTAATGTAGTTCTCGAAGACATCGAAACCCAAGATGACCAACAAGAAAAACTCAGTCTATACCATACGACAAAAACATGCCATCGTGGAATAAACGAAATGAAGAATTCTCTTTGTAGAAAATATTATTGGCCCAAAAATGTCTGACGACATAGAAAATTGCGTTAACAATTGTGACATATGTCAAAAGAATAAGTATGATCCAAAACCACCAGTGATAAAATTTAACTTAACGCCTACAGCATCAAAACCATTCGAACACATTCATGTTGATACCTTTAGGATAAACCATGAAGCCTATGTTACAGTAATTGACGCATTCTTGCGCTATGGACAAGCGTATCCATTAAAGAGCATAATAGGAACCGAGGTAGTGGAAAACCTTTTTAACTTTACATCATGGATTACCATTGAAAATAATCTCAGATCAGGGAACAGAATTTAAAAACAAAGACCTTGAAGACTTTTGTAAGTTATACCGAATAGAATTACATTTTACGACACCACAAAATAGTAATTCAAACTCCTCTATGGAGAAATTTCATTCAAGTATAATTGAAAGTTATAGATGTCTTAAAGAAGAAAACAAAGATCTAACTACAGATCAACTCATAAAACGAGCAGTAATGGAATACAACAACTATATACACACAGTGACAAAATATACACCTTTTGAAGTGATAAATGGTCATTTAAATCGTCAAAACCCATTTGATCTAAATGATAACACGATAATTTCTTCTTATGTTCAATCGCATAAAGAAAACTCAAGTAAACTATACGAACAAATAAAGGAAATAAATGAAAAAAGGAAAGAAAGCATTATTTCAAAAAGAAACGAAAATCGCGAAGAACCACCAGATTTTAGTGATCAAAAATATGCTTTCATTAAAACAAAATTTAGAAGCAAGGAACTTCCTAAATTCAAAAAGATACCGTTAATAAACCAAACGGAAAATAAATTTATAACAACAAAGACAAACTATCATAAAAATAGTGCAAAGAGGCCAAAGGTTAATAAAAATCTATTCTTTCAGGAAACCAATGAAGATCAAAATGTTGACTCTTCTACTCGTAGCAGTTCTAACAGAACGAATATTAACAACAGACGTACAAGTTACCAAACTCGTAAATCCAGATAGGTAACGCAAAGTTAATTTATAACAAACATACATTTATCCATTATGTAGATTTAAGTCAAATAATTAACCACGTAGAAAGCATAGAGAACGCATTTAAAATAATTAAAGATAAGTTTAATGTTAAAAATATAAGTAATAATATTTCTTATTATGAACTTGCCGAAAATTTACTTTTAAGAACTGAATATATATAACGAGGCTTAATTAACGCGGTTGGTAAAATAAATAAATGGCTATTTGGAACTCTCGACGTTGACGACGGAAATTATTATAAAGCAGCAATAAATACACTCGAGAAAAACCAAAATAATTTAGCTAAAGAATTAGAACTACAAGTATCTTTATCAAAGGGCATAATTAATAATTATAATAAAACTATTGTGACATTAAATGAAAATCAACGAAAGCTACAAACTGGTTTGGAAACATTCCAAAATGCAGTATTAATGACAATAAATTCTTTACAAGACTATCTTAGTTTTCACGGGATCATTACGCAATTAAACTTTCATTGCCAAAATATTATAACGTTTCTAGATAACCTAGAAGACGCTATTATGTTTGCAAAAGTTAATGCGCTTCATAATAGTATTTTACCGATTTCGGATTTGAATAAAATACTTAAATATTTTGCATCAATTTATATAGAAAATCAAATTCCCCAATTTAAAAACATTTTATGTTCTTATTAAATTTTGGGAACTCAGGTAAATTTTGTTGACTCGAAAGTGATCTTTGCAGTCCACGTACCAATTTTAAGATCCGAAATATTTTCCTTTTACCATATTTTCCCAATAATCCAAAATCAATCAATTTCAATCAAGCCTTGTATGGCACAAGCGGAGAAGAAGAGACAATTCACCGCAGAAACATGTCCCGTCATCGAAGAAGCCTACTTTTGTAAAGAAGAAACTCACCCCCGAGATGTATGCGTGGAGAACTTGCCCAATTACGAAAATGAACCTGTCAAAGGCAATTATAGAACAAATCACTCGAAATTTAGTTCTTATTTTGCCAGTACTGATTAAGATACCAGTAAACTGTCAAAAATCCAGTTCGGAAAACCAATATTTTTACCAAAAATCCAATTGACAGAAATGAAAGCAATGAAAGTCCTAGATACCCCCAGTCTTTCAAAAATAAATATCGATGAATATACCAGCTGAGAGACTTAGCAGAAAAAATAACTCCCATGGAACCAGTGGAAGAAGAAACGAATACATTCCAAATAATTGTTATTGTTTTTGAAATAACCATAGTTCTAATTTTAGTTGTCATCATTAAGAAGCTCTTATTTGAAAAGGTACGAGAATTGAAGAAAATCGCATCCAAAGAGGAAACCCTCCCTGACAGGAGAAAATCTTGAAGCTTTTTCGAAAAAACACTCCGTTATTTTCGAAAGTTAAGAAAGGAGTTATATGTCCCAAACTACATACGAAGCCTAAAGCTAAGCGAAGATAACGCATCGCCGACACCGCATCAAAAGCCCTATTTATTCGATTGTAATATTGTAAAATACGCTCTTAATTATTCCAGCCTTTGTAACGACCAGTTCGAATAAAACTTTATTTCGCTTTCTGTGTAATAAATGTTTTTTAAAACGCTCTCCCGAATTTTGAACATTTAAGTACTGTTAGTTGTTTCTGTCGAATTTGAACTTTCTTTTGTATATTTATGTATAAATTATATGTTACATCTTATGTGTCCCAAAACATTATTTAATGTTTTTTCCCAGTGGTTCGATTACGCACCAGTATTTTTTTGTACGTTTCGATTTTTTTTTGACACATGTGATGTATTCTTAAGTGTAACAAAATAAAAATTTTCAGAGCAAGTATTTTTTTTATGTTATATAATAATAATATGGGTTAAAAGCTGACCTAACCAGTGCTTTTATAAAGCCAGACTATCTTCGCCGGTTCACGTTCACTTTGGAAAATACCAAATTGGATCCCATGGGTCCACAATATTACGAATGACAGAATTATAACTGTTTAGGTTAGACCGATAAATAATGCGAGTCAAAAATAAACATTCCAATTACCCAAAAAAAATATGGTAAAATATCGCCCACTTAAATCTAAGGGCACCGACGTATATATTGTATGTTATGAAGTAAAAAATAAAAATTTTCATTTATATCATTTCATTGAACTGTCACTTTTTAAATTGTTTAATCTGTCTACTTTCACTATTGTTTATTCTAAAAAACAACTAATGGATCTAATTTCGTCATACCAAAAAATGTTGCTATAGCCGTTAAATATTTAAGTCAGTGATTGAAAGGTAATTATTTGTAGTAGAGGCATTTATCAAAAAATGCAAAATATTGGTAAGTGTGGCGTTAATGACGACCTAGTGCTGCTGCGGGAGGCGACCTAAAACCCTTTTTAAATTCTAATGTGTGGGATGTGATTATTAGTCTTTAATCATCAAAAATAGCGCGCAAAATAATATTCTTATCTTATATATCTTCTTTTAAAATTAAAAATTGAAACGAAAGAAAACCCAGAGTTGGATCATCTTTTAATTTAATATGCCTCTTTTAGATCTTGCATTCTCTCTCAGTAATAATTACTTTATATAAAAAAAGACATAAGAACATTCACAAAGTTTTATATTTTTTAACAATAATGGATACAAAATGTATCTTACTGGTATGTATACAAGTTTTCTCCGATCAACAACCATACCCTTTCCAGGAAATATTAAAAAGTCAACAAAATGATATATTTTTAACAAATAAAATATAACAATTTATAACCAATATGGTTGAGTAAATAGAATCCTACAAATTTACATACTTTGTTTCACCTTTAGCCCATACTAATAACAATATAATATTTTGTATAATAACATGGCAATACCACACAACTTATATTACTCTAAATAAACATATTGTGATACTACTCACAATTCAGACAACTGCAAAAACTTTTTATTACTTCTACTAGCCGGCCAATTACATTTTAGTTTTCGCAGATATCCCCCAAAAATAAATAACAATTTCCTTCATAAAAATGAACCAACGAATTATTGTCAAATAATGTTATTATCACATGCTTAAATTGCATTTATGTTACATCAGAATAAAGAATATTTTTGGCAAGGCACTTTCAAAGATTATTTCATTGACTACAAAGTTATCAAAAAAAATTTAAATTTGTATTTTTTTTTTTAAATTACTAATAAGTATGCTGCTCTTCTTTGATTGGTTCTGGCTTAAATGCCATACCATATGATTCGTCTATTGCAGCCATGTCTCTCATAATAAGGATTCCACTACTTGCAACTGGAGGGCTAGCAACATTTCTTCCATTTATCAAATGGTCTGCAGGGCTACCTGGTGTTGTTAATGGCGATGTAACTGGACTATCAGTAGAATCGCTTGTCGCACCATGGTAACCATTGGTGTTGTTGTTGATTGCTTGAGGAATATTAGTAGACACTTGACCAGGGACAACCAGAGTTGGGCTGTTATCCATTCCACCTAAAATAGTTTAATATTCTTGACATCACGAGATTCAGAACTAACAGATGCTGTTTTTATATTCTATTGTATGTGTAACTGTTCTCTTGAATAAAAATTCACAGATCAAATACCACAACACTCAATAAATAAAATACATACCCCCCAGCAACATTTCCTGCAGTAAACTGTCTATGTGGGTCACACCAAATAATTTGGCAAATTGAATTTGCTCTATCATTTGCCAAGTAATTGATTGCAGAGGTGGTAAAGTTAAAAGTAGTTCGCCAAATCTTCCTCTGCTGTCATACTGTCTGTCACTGATGTAGTCTTCCAGATTTATCTGAATTTGATAGCGTAATTGTTTGATATGGTTAGGCTCACTTAAACCTTTCGCATCTAAAAAAAGAGGGCTATGTAGTTAATATTTACAATTAATTCTATAAAGCCACACTTACTGGGATCAAAAAAGACAATAGCCTTTAAGCAAGCAAACTCAGTGTCATCAATTTGTACTTCAGTCATAGGTCTCACAAGTTCATCCATGATACGGGTGCCCACTCTTGCGATACTTAAATCTGGAGATGATCATGAATTTAATATATAAAATTAAATAACAATCAATTTTTAAAACATATTTTGCAAAAGAACTGAGGACAGTTTCTTTGACATACCCTAAGTAACCTGTAAAGAAAATGAGTTAAAATTTGCTACTGCTATATTTAGATACAGTTAGATAAATATATATTATATCGTAGTAGATTATGGTATTTAAATAATCACAAAGGGGCAAAATTTGTCTCAATCTTTGTTTTATCGATACGTGTTTCATGTAGACATTGACACAAAGAATTAAAACATAAAATTGGCAGGTATCTACATACAAAGAAACTGTATCATAAAAAGCAGTTTTCCGCGATTCAGTATAGTGGCCTTCGCGGGATAATTAAACACATACATTTAATCGACAAATGACCGACAATTACATTAAAGATATATAGGTAATAAGGTAGCGCGTAATGCAATTTTCCGCAGCCATTTAAAACGTATTAATGGCTGTATTGTCCTATTTATTCAATCGTAAATTCATGTTTGTAAAAATGTATTCGGCGAAATTAACGCAAATGCTTAAACACGCCTATGGAATCGTCATAAGTAAGTATTGGGCGTTACGAAATTTTTAAATAAACACTATTAATTGATTTTGTACAGTCTGCTTGTCAACCATTATGCATTTGTTTAAGAATTACAATTTTTGTTCGCAGGCAGGCAAATAGTACTTTTCAAATATTAATGCCCAATTTGCGCTCTTTAATTGCTTAATTGATATATGTTAAGGAAGGAAAATTTATAACGCTTATATTTGACAGACACACACACTTTAACAGTTCTACAGACATTGATTGCATCTAGTGAGTCTGAAAAAATCTTTTTGGCATGTCTCAACTGTCCAGCATTGATGTTCTACAAATTCGGAACATCTATGGAAAAAGTACATACAGCTGCTGTAAAATGAATGGACCATTTTTCAACTAGTATATCTCATTCAACAAACTTCCAACACAAAATCAATCGGTGTAAAAGTTTATAAAAGGATAAAAGGATTAATTGGAATATAGCGTGTTTTGTTGCAGTTATGAAGAGACTCGGAATAACTCAAATTTGCAGTCCTATTGTCGCAGCCTCTACGAAACCATTATTTCATAATTGCAATACAGAGTGAACAAGCTCAAGTCGGCATTATTACTAATTTATGTTTTTATTGAAACCACGAAGTCCGTTAAATGTACTTTTTCTACCCCCGCCTGTAAAATACCGAATTACATACCAATCGTCATTTCACAGAGTGTCCCATTTGCTTTTATTTTTAATCACTATCACTTTACTAATTTAAGCGACTTAATAGCTTCGATAATCAGGAAGTTAGCACCCATGTGGACTTACAAAAATTAACACTATCTATAAAAATCGTTCACCAAAAAAAAACTAGGTACTCCTGCGCCAGACAATTGACTCTGTCTTGCTGACTTTTCCCCCAACATGCTCGTGGCTTCTTCAGAGTGCAGTTTGAAACTGACTGAAAACTGAAACTACCCATCATGTTTGGTGAGACCTCACCAAGGCAGAGTCAATCCGGACGCAGGAGAAATCCAGAAGGAGTGTACCTACCTGCGGAAATTTCTTTGAAAAATTATCTTTTTTCTCACCTGGACAATGTTTGGTTATAATACAATTATTTCCAAGAAGTAAAACATCCTTCAAATGCATGGAACGCCTAGCTAATCCCAATAGCAGGTGTTCTCCGGCGTGCGCCCGCAATAAAGCCACCTAAAAATGCACATTATTGCACATAATGCAAATTATACCGTATATAGCGTGCCTGATCGTCCAGCTGTAGCTCGGTAAATGCGGGAATGTACTTTGCCCACTCAACGAGTATAAGTAGCTGTTGTTTCATTGAGTCGCATATATCGTCTATACTAGCTAGTTGCCGATTTGACAAATCGCAATCGTTTATTGTATTTGTTCCCATTTGCTAAAAGTTCATCAACATTTTTTTTGCAAATCATTGAAATGTGTTGTATCCTCATATAGATACATGTCATGTTTGAAACAACAGAATGGTCTTCTCTCCACGTTACTAGTCCACTTAATTACATGTTATGCAAGGTTAGTTTTAGGAATATTTATTGAACTGAATATAATAAAATAATAAATAAAATAAAATTGGCCTGATAGGCATAGCCCTATTTGCTTTACCATATATGTTGCCATTAATAATTAAAGTCTTTTATATTAGTTTTTCTGTCTTTCTCTGTGTTATTGTACTTTTAATCCAGTGGAATATATATTACAATGAATTAAACGAAATGATTAGGCGAGAATACACTTTTTCAAGGTTAATTTCTAAAACGGACTTTACGCCCGAGTACTTACTTCCAACGCAGCTCCAACCTGTCTGGATAACATTTCGGCATTTAGTAAAGAACTAACGGATAGTCCGTTGTTTTGATTTTTTTCCTCATAACTGGGTCTGCGACAACTTATTCGGTCCCTTTCATTTTGTACGGCTGAAAATTGACACACTTTTGAATATTTGTTAAATAACTTCACAGATTCAAAGTGTACGCAATATCTAACTTTACGGCTGATTATTGATCACAACAAGAATAACATCGACAAGATTAAACTCAGTTTGCTGCTTTCGCTAACCACCTAGTCACATAGTTGCGAAAAACCTGAGAGAATAATCATTAGATAGTAGAGGGTTGTCTGTTTATTTTTTTGTGACCTACTCATTACACGTTTTGGGAAAACGAAAGCTGGGAATTTGCTGAAAATTTGGTCACGCAGTATTCTGGTTTCTATGAAAAAGTAGCTACAACTGATTTTTTAAATAGGACACTCGGTTTATTTTTTGATTTTCGCTCCGCTACTATTCTCTAGCTCTTTTTGTAATATATTTCCCTATATTCTTTAGCAGTTTTAAAGATATTAATGAATGTCTATATTGATTTAAATTCTTATTGCTACGGTACTTTAGAAAGCTGTTACTACGGCTGCAGTTTGCCAAGTTTCTGAATACAGAATAGTAAAAATAATTATTTTAACGGCTTACGAAATTGATAAAAGTCAAATTTGATATATAATATTGCTGTACCTAAATGATGAGGTTTTCGAAATAAAAGCAATTTCCTCTAAAAATCATTTTATTTTGACATATTTGGTAGGTCATGAAATATTATGACACGCCTTTATGAAAGTTTGATTTTTGAAAATAACTTCGGCAATTACGATTCGAAGCTCGAGTCGATTACCCAATCCCGTACGCTTATCCACAAGCTTCTATACGATGCACCCATCTAAATTAATAATAGGAGAATAAATTTTGAAAAACAATAAAATTAAAGTATTAAATAAAGTCATTTGGACGAATGAAGCCAAGTTTCCACGAGGCATCTTCCATTGACGAAATGAGCATTTGCAGACAGACAAGAATTCAAAAACTATAAGGGAAATGCGACTTTAACAGAAATTTAGTTTTAAAGACAACCATATAGGATTGGTAATTTAAGACGAAAGTTAAATTAGACATCTAGAAATTCTGCGAACCACTACGGGGATTCTGTGCATAATCGTGAATACCGGAACTCTTATCATCTCGATAGAACACTAGCTGACTGTTCGGAGGAAGAAACAGAGTTGTTTCAACTCGGTGGTTGGCCGCTAGATTTGTATTTGAGGGGCACTTTGAAACAGGGAGCGACGACAACGCCTATTCACATACACAGGCGAGTTAAAAAAGAGATTTATTCTGTAAACGATAAAACTTTGAAATTTTTGGATAATAATAAGTTGCCATTTTCAATATTTACTGTAAATTAGGCTAGTTTCAGTTGAAATTTGTTGTTTTAATTTGTACGCAATGTACATAGACAATAAATAATGTCAAAATAGCAATCATCAAATGCGATAAAGACACCGGTGTTGTCCAAACAATTCTCATGTCAAAATATATAATTTTGTGAAAATCTGAACTTTTAGTTCTTATTTATTTTGATAAATGGATTTTCATCAAGTAAAAACCACCTCAGTTCAATTTTTAATAAATAATGTTACCAAAATTTCGTATTTTTAAATAAACGTTTGTTTGTCAAGGCAATAATTCATAGCCATATGTCAAAATTATTCAATTTTTTAAAAACATTGCTTTTTTCTACTCCCGTTTGTAAAATACCTAATTACCCACCGATCTATCGTGCGGGAAACGTCACTTTACCACGTCAATTTCGTTTCCATTGAATCCGAGCCATTTCGGACATTTCCGGGATTTTACCGCAAGGATTTGGAAGCAATCGGATGTTTTCGGAGATTTTTCCCACGCTTTGAATTTTGACGTTTGTCAATTGTGACGGTCATGTCAGTGAATGTATTTGTGTTGGACCCAAAAACTAACGGTCGTAGAAAAAGTATAGTATGCAACACGTTCGGTAAACTTTTTAACTCACTCATTTATTAAAAACTCGCTCCGCTCGTGTCAAATAAATTCGTGAGTCAAATGCCGTTTACTGCACTTGTTGCATAATATACTATTTTTTACTCTTAAGTTGTTTTCGTATATTGTCTCGTCTATTATTTCGAAAACCTTACTATTTAGGTATAGGAATACTATAATTCACTTGAAATTCAATCAATTATGTTTCAGAATATAGGGTGTTTCAGTACTACAGGAAACTAGTGTCCAGGATGTTGGCAAACAGCAGTCACAATTTCAATTTTCTAAATAGTTAAGTAGCCCATCAATAAGAATTTAAATTGGGCTCTATCGCAACTTTTTCATAGAAGGGGAAATATTGGGACACTGCGAACATTTTTAGATAGATAGAGGCATGGTCAAAAGCCTTTGACGAAATTTTCAGTAAATTTCCTGTTTTCCAAAAACATCTAATGTTCCGTAGATCGTGAAGCACTCTGCATATTCAAAATATATATATATATATATATATATATATATATATATATATATATATATATATATATATATATATATATATATATATATATATATATATATATATGAAAATTTCAATTCATATACAGGGCGTTTCATTGAAGAAAACATCAACATTGGTAATTACGTTCCGGTAAACGCTTCGTCAAAGAAAAGTATACCATATTTGTTGAGGATTTAAACTTCTGAAGAAAAGTGACAGATACATTCTCAATTTAAAATTTAATTTTCTCGTAATTTCAAATTACCATCATCGCATTACAAAATGAAACAATATTTATACTAATTAGACTCCGCTTAAAACGAACAGAATGCGAAGAATCCCAGGCAGCGACAGTTACAGCGACATGACGTCATTTCAATAACACCCTGTATAAGTCGAGCGATTAAATGCATTGCATGAGACCGAAACGTGCATGGGTTGCATCGCATAAGTCTCAATGTGCGCCTTGCGGTACAATAATGGTTTTAGAATTAAAATTTACACAAATTCCTACAAACCTTCTTTTTTCATTCCAGCTTTAAAACATTTTCGCAGTCTACAATATCGGCATTGGTTTCTTTTGTCTTTGTCGACTACACAATTACGACTAAATCTGCAACAAACAAACAACTATTTGGCGTTTGAACTAAAATCTCCCCATACGAGGTAAAAGCCAAGACATCAACCAACAGAATCTCATATATCACTGTAACTTAGCTAGTTACTGCAATAGTAATAAGACTATTAGTGGAACTAACTTTATCATAAATAAAGACGTCAAATTTGTCGAACAGCCCATAAAAATCAGTTTAGAATATACGGATGCGGATCTTTACCCTAAAGACGCATTCCCGCAGATACAGCGACATACATTTTAAAGAAGGGAAAACCAATAGTTTTGACCTATGGCTGCGGCACCAATATATGTTACTTATCTATGGCTACGACTGAATCAAACTTTGAGAACTTGGTTTGTGTCCATAAATAGCCTCGAATCTTTTTTACCTGCATGTATATAGGTGGTTCTTCCTCACCGACCGTCTAAAAAATCCTTTGCAGCCATCACACGAAGCTGCCCCATAATGTTTGCCGGTCGCTCTATCCCCACATATTGCGCAATACTGCCCCAGTGCGGCGTTTCCAGCTCCGCCGACCACCGATTGCGAAAGGGAGTTGATGAGACCGGGGGAACCCCCAAGAGACCCGGTCCCGCTTGCGGTAGATAGAGTGGCATCGGAGTCTGCTAAAATAGAAACGAACCTCTTAAATATATAATTAATGCCACATAAAGTTTATGAAAAGAACCACCGAAAGACCAACCCAAACTAACAAAATATACGGTGTGTCCCATTTTAGATCAATTTGCTGTTTACCTGCAGAAATGCCATAGCTATCTTGAATTTTTAGGTACAGGGTAATTTTGAAAATTTTACATTTTTAGATACCCTTTGAAGTAGTGTGCATGTCTTTTATTGGGCTTATTATGAGTGTTTTTTTTTTTTACACAATTATGACATTTTATAATTATTATTCTAATTTCTGCCCCCTCTTCCTTCTGCAACATGTTAACCCAAAATGAGAATTATGAGAAATTGGATATAATAAAATTAATAATTAAAGAGATACAATGCATTCCATAAAAAATATAGAAAACTGACTGCGTGAAAAACACTATCTAGACCAGTTTTCACCTTTTCGATAAGTTAACGCATAACCGAGTCACGAAAGTCGCAACGTGCTTGCTTTGTTAATAGGTGAGATGTGCAGTAAAACTATAATAAATGGAGCACACTGTAGAGGGTGGAGAGATGATAAAAAAAATACAATGGTAAAAACCGCAAGTGGATAATTGTTACCGTTTCAGAGTTAAAGGGTTCTTTTCGAAAATTGATCTTGAAAAAAAAATTTTAGTTATTGAATTTATTGTGAGTCTATGAGAACATGTACAAAGCACCTTCATTTTGAAAACATTTAATAGTTATCACCAGAAATTGTTTTCTTCAACTATCTGTGTATGGAAACTGCTTTTTTAAAAATGGAAACAGATTTCACGTAGAAAAGCTAAGGTCAAATTTGAACAATATTATAAATTCTGAAAGTTTCTTTTTGTTGGTCTTTCGGGCGGTCTGGAAAAATCTGAAATCATAATCGTATATAATTTTCAGGTGGTTTTCAATAAAGATATTTTGCCATGTTTTCTAGAACAGAATAATTGACATTTAACTTGCGAAAGCACGTGAAAAAACAAAACCGTGTGTTTACGTCTCGGGATGCTGTATTTGTACAGACAGTTGACCTATTATCTATAATCTGGAGGTTGTAAACAACTAGCCCAAATTCTTTCTCTAAAATAAATAAGACCGACACAAAAGTGTTTCTCTTCGATTACTACCGACTGCATCTCGCCGCGTGATTCAAACAAAGACTACGCCGCTGCGTCGCGTGAAGGAAAGTATTAATGTTTATTAAAGCCGGGGTTATATTGATATGGTAATCTACTTACAAGGAGGAATACGTTAAGTTTGTAAATTACCGCAATACTTATTAAAACGAACAAACAACATACATATAATAATAATAATAATAATAATAATAATAATAATAATAATAATATAATAATAATATATAATAATAATAATAATAATGATAATAATAATAATAATGATAATAGTAATAAGATCTAATAACAGCATATTAGCCAAAACGTGCGGTAAAAGGCATTTGAATTCACAAAACGTGTTGCAAACTATATTTTTTCTACGAATATTAGTTTTTGGGTACATTTTTGCAAAACAACACGAATACATTCACTAACATGACCGTCAGAATTGACAAACGTCAAAATTCAAGCCGTATATATTATATGAAAAGTGTCGAGAGCTTTCTTATCAAAAATATATTCGCGATTATTGGTGATAGTGGAGAACCCATAGCTGTTCCCGACGTTTGTTGACAAAAATTTGACCGTTATAAGAAAAATATGTCCCTGACAAGCATTTTTCAATTAAGGTGAGAAGGTTTGGTTCAGGATTCTCGGATTTTAATATATCTGAAATGACGTTGAGAGTTTCAGGAATAGGAACTTTAGTAAAGAGGGATTCTACATCGAAACTAACTAGAATATCTTATGTATCTAATGTAATGGTTTTTAATTATTCAATGAAGTAAAAGGAGTTAGGTACGAAACTTTCAACTTTCGGAAAATTTTTAAACAAACGCCGGGAACAGCTATGGGTTCTCCACTATCACCAGTCAACGCGAATATATTTATGGAAGCCTTTGAGGAGAAAACCTTTCATCTTAAATCAAAATTATGGAAACGCTACGTCGATGATACTTTTGTTATTTGGTCTCATGGTCAAGAATCCCTAGTAGATTTTCTTAGACATTTAAACTATATGTTTTACCATTTAGTTGAAAACTTAATAATAACCTTCAATTCTTAAATATTCTTATTAATAGAAAATCATTCCTAACATTGGGTCATTGTGTTTACAGAAAACCTACGCACACAGACCGATACCTTAATGCATGGTCACATCACCATCCGGCTCAAAAATCATCGGTTATCAACTCTCTTGTTTACAGAGCCGTAAAACTATCTCAGCCCGAGTCATTGCACCCAGAATTAATTACCTCTTCTCTTCTCTTTAATAATTTCCACAATTAACATGTTAAGATTTCCATCACAAAATACACTTCACCACAACCTTCCAATAACAATGAAATCGAAAGCAATCCCACGTTTTCCACTGTTGTCCTTCCTTATATTCAAAACATCACTGACCACATATCAAAAGTTCTAATGAAGTATAACGTCAAAAGCAGATTTACAACTAGTCCAAAATCTCTCAACATCTTCGATCCGTCTAAGACAGAATTCCGTTTGAAATGCCAAACAATATATAATCAGGTACAGAGTAAAATGCGAGCCAGTTTCAGTCAAGCTCTGAAGAAGCCAACAGGATGATTGGCGAAACGTTAGCAAGTTCGACTCAGCAAAACGCAGGAGGAAACCAGAAGTTTTGTAAAAAAGTATAATTAAAACATTTTCAATGGAATTTGACTAGTCAATTAAGAAGTGATCAGCCTCAACACTAACTATGCGATCTACTTAATATTATTTAAGGTTAGTTTTAATTTAGTTATGTGGTCTACCTATGTTTTGCCGCCTGCAATAACTGTAACAGAAATTAAATACAGCGGTTGTTATAGTGCTAAACCAAATACCAAATAAGCCTGGGTAGACAGCATACTAAACCGGCCCCAACCTATTTTTGCAGAATCGCGCTTCTGGAAGTGTATCCAAGTGTCTGATAGCCAGTTTTGCTAGTTATTTATGCCAGTTATTTCGACTTTTGAAGTGATGTGATTATAGGTTCAAAAGAGACCAGTTTTATTTAACAAAAACTTAAAGAGGTATCTTGCCTGAATTTGAAAGAACCAATTAGCTTTGCTCATCCAATATACATGTGCTATTAGATCGGGACTGTAAAAATCGTAAACTTGATGCACATTAGGCGGCTATGATATATTTATTGATTGATGAACGCTACAAATGGCTATAATTTACTGAAAAAAAATCTGTATAATTTCTCAGAGAATTCTATGAAATTTATATTATATATATTTATTACGTCGTGTTCTAGCATTATAGCCCTAGCTGGAAAGTGCACTCATAAACACTTTAAGTTCTTGTCGTTTTGTTTAGCAACAATGTACCCAAAAACTAATAACACTCGTTTATTAAGTACTCGTGACTCAAATGCATATATAATATACTATTTTGTTAAGTAAACTCTACATTCTCCCTTGCACATTAGACGTATCGACGTATTTCCAAACATTGCGATACAATATCTATTATGGGCTCCACATTGGGTCTCAAACAAGACAGAAATAACAATAAATAAAGGTGTAATAGTGTCTTTTAAACATTTTACGAACACTAAATATTCTTTTCTTTTTTGATATTTTAGGAATAAGATGACATACGCTTCTCATTAATCTATTGAGGTATCATTTCACTACATTTTAGAAAATTTTGCATTTTGGAGCTCTAACGATATCACTAAGAACTAGACATGTCACAGATGAGTTTGATGAAGCAATAAATGTCTCTTCCTACGAGACCAAGTTTGTTAAAATCGGTTCAGTATTTTAGTTTAGTTAAAAAACATCACTCTCAACACTTTTTCTTTCTTAATAAATAGTCGAATAAAGGTTAGCTTTAAAAGTATATATTTTTTAGTAGATTTGCTGGGCGGATTTCTGAAAAAAAATCACTTTAATTTTTTTTAATTTTATAGCCCCTGCTAACGACCATCTTGGAAATCTGAAAATATTTTTCACGGTCTTATTTTGGCCAATTAAGTTATAACTTTTTTAACACAAGCATCGATAACGAAATACAGTACTTTGCATCCTTATTTGGTCTCTCTGTGCTTTGATAAACACTGAGGACTAACAAGCCGATTTAATTTTTTTTATCTTCAATATGATGGTGATTACAAAACGTCAATAACTAATTAAATTCGTCAAGGGAACTGTTACTCCGCGTACTAATTTACTAAAAAATCTTCGCAAAACGGCAGCGTTGGCGGTAATTTTGGGACTGGTCAATTCACACAAAAAAATTGACCGGTCGATTCCACAACCCTAGTTAGCGGATCAAATCGACATCGAAATAATGGCATAAGACATAGACCGAAATCCTTGTTCATATATCTTTTAATTTTTCCAGATATATAGTCATCTGAGAACAGTCCACAATCTTTCTCTACCCGTTTCGAGTATCCAGCAGATTAATTGGCTGTGGTTTGAGGTCAAAAATACTTACTAATAGGCCCAACATAAATATTTTCGGACTAGTTTTTGGAAAACAACGATTTTTTTTCCTGTTTGTCCTCCTGCCAAACTAATTCAAATGACACACACACATTGTTATTGCATATGGAGAAAAATCGAAAACTTAAGTTTGTAATTTGTTTAACGGAAAATATCCAGAAGATCTACAACTACAAGATCCACAGTGAGTTGTGAGAAAACTTATAGAAACAGTGTATGTAAAGGTCGTCCAAGAACTAATGAGAACTTAAGATTTAACATTTCATTAGGAGTTGAGGATAATCCCCATCTTCTGAAGTAGCTTCCAATAATCATGAAAGAAATGTATCATCGGTACAAGATTATATTACTACAGGAGGTGAACGAAGATGATCCCGACCGCAGACTACGGTTTCC